GCAATTTGACATTTATGGCGTGACAGCGTACCTGAATGCAGAATTCTGATTGGCTAAAATCCCGCCATATTGGATACGCTGACATTCTGCGCAGATTCACCAAAAGCTGAGCAAAGTTCAACTTTTCGCGTAGAAATTCAACGTTTTTAGAGGTTAAGGTGGCAACCGTTTCGTTTTCTTGATTTTTGTAATTATTTACTGTCCATATTTGTAACTATTTGGAAATAAAGCAAAACCAGATGTCAAATTTTTGACATGACGCTTCCTAGATAAATAACCTAATTAATGATTGTCATTGTCATTAATTGTCATTTCAAACCATGAATTCATTTTAATAAATCTAGACATTTTTTCAGGTTTTGATATCATTTTTCGGGGATAATACCACATAATACCACGAGAGCTTTAAAATTACGGATAATTTTTCACGATTCAAAAATGTCCTATTGAGATTTTTTTTAATTTTTTTTTTTTTTTTAATTTTTTTTTTAATTTTTTTTTTTTTTTTATTTATATAAAGCAAAATGAGCTCTTACCAATCAATGAAAAAAAAGATGGCGTTCCCATTTAAAAAAAAGATCAATGACGTCATATCTTGGAGAGGAATTATTTTTTCTCCTATATCTCTGCGTAACTTTTCCCTACCACTGGCGTATCCAGCCCATGCGTCTCGGGGGGTAATCATCCCAGGCCAGCCCGCCGGAGGCGAAAATTTTTTTACCGGGTGCCACGCCCAAAATCGTTTACTTTGAGCCTTCAAAACATTTCTTCTCTAGGAAAGTGGGGAAAATTAAACATTGCGGAAAATCGATTTTCTCGCACGGCGCGGAGAAATTTTTTCCGCACGGATATCGGTGCGGAAAAATCTTTTCCGCACGGCTGTCAAAAAAAAAACAATAATTTACTACAAGTTATGTAGGTATGTACTTATTTCCGCACGACTGACTAGAAAAACTATTGTACCTAATACATGCGGAATATCTGTTTTCCGCACTCGGCTGCTTCACCGAATTCCGCTACGCGTCTTTCGGTGAACGACAGACTCGTGGGGAAACATTTATTTTCCACACTTGTTAGGTAAATATATTCTGTACTACCAACAAATAACGAAACCGAACTCTGATAGCGAATTCCATTGGAAGGGTTAGTGCGCACTGAGTGTAGTCGTGCCTTATTCTACCAGCTTGTATAAAAAAGAGATAAAAATACATTTTTTTACACTGATTTTACCAATGGAATTCGGTATGGGATTCCCCTGAAACTTTTTAATTATAGCGAATTCTATTGGTAGAACTAATACAAAAAATGTATTTATTTCTTTCTCATGCAAGCTAGTAGAGAAAAACACGAATACACTCCGTATGCACTATCCTTTTGAATAGAATTCGCTATAAATGGCATGCGGGCAATGCGGACACTGTGCAAACTAGAAAACAAGTTAGGGCCAGTTGCTGGAAAGTAAAAATATAAGAAATAGATTTATTTGTGAGGTGTAGGGTACATATTTTTCGTCCATCGCAACGATCTTGGGGGGGGGGGGGGGGTAATTACCCCCATTACCCCCCCCTTGTATACGCCGGTGTTCCCTACACGTCTTCTTATACCTATTTCCAAAATTTCATCAAATTGAGCCGCACTGGCGTAACTAGCCATCTGACCTGGGGAGGGCCTAGGGTGGGCCTGGTAGAGGCGTCGATTTTTGAAAGTCCTCATAGGTGCAGGATAATATTTTTATTTTGTTTATAGGGGGAGGGGAAGCTCGCCGTAGGCGGAAATTTTTTTCCGGATGCCACGCCTAAAAACGTCTATTTTATAGTGTACCTATATATTTTTTTTTATTTTTTTTCTACGAGCGTGCGAAAACTGCTTTTTTCTGCACGCGTTTTAGGCCATGAAAACATCACATCATTATTAAAAGATTATTATCAAAGAATAGAGATGGGGAATAGCAACATTAGCGATATAAAGTAATAGAGCATAGAATTGACCACAAATAACGAAAGGACAGAATACTAATACCTCCCTAATCTGAAACTAATACCACTTGTATAATTCTCATACAAAGTTGTGTAAATTTAAATTACATACATGATACTGATACTACCACCACACGGAACGGAATGACCATTAAATACGTTTGTACTTTCGCATTCTCTGCGAGAGCTCTGAGTACCCATGAGAGGTTGCTCATGGGAGCAATTGCTCCAATGCCCCCTTGTAGTTGGGACCAGTGGCCTAGGGCCTGTTATTGCGACTTATTGGAATCTTTAAAAATGTAAAACAGTGCAATTATAGGCGATTAGCTGACTAAACCGGGCTTAAAACACTTACCTAGCTAACTCAGCTTATCAGCCACTGTAAAGTATATATCAGCAATACCGATTCGCGGATTCACAGGAAAAATATTAAGTCAAACTCGCAAACTAATCAATCTGTTATATTGCTAATGCTAATTTAATGGCTTTCGTATACCTACTGTATCACTTCTGCACATTCCAATTTGCACTGACCTTCGGGTAGTGGCACAATTGCACACAGCCCGTTCGTTGGTGGATCGGAGGATCCAGGGGCGGATGGGATGGGGCCTCTCAGACCGGAGCGGGAAGTAGATTGTAACGGCGCCGCGAATGTCCAGCAAAATATTTGCCGATAATCGGAGCCGCGCGTCAGTTGTCACAGAAATCACAAACCATTCACATAGCGTTTTTGATTGGCGCAAATCGCCAACAAACAGTTTTCTGGTTGAATGAAATTCGCTCCAACTGGTTTGTGATTTCTGTGAGAACAGGCCTAGTGTACGGAGACGAACTCTCTTTCACCCGTCTTACCTACATGCAATCTGGAATAATGAAAAGAGGCAGACGAACGCAAAGATACCTCAAAACGGAACATAGCAAGCAATGCAACTTGCCATGGAACATTAGGAACGGTATGGGCGCTTACGGCATGCATACTTATCATTCACAGAGTTCTAAAATTGCAAAGTTGCCAACTGCTAAATCAATTAATAAATTAGCTATCCGGCTCTTTCGCTTTTTCAATCATTTCCGAACTTCCCGCGACGGCGTCAATCGGCGCCTGAAGGACCCGCGCACCGGGAAATCTCATCCCGGCGTCCCGGTGGGCCAATCCGCCCCTGGGAGGATCGGATAGGGTCGATCGGGATCGCCGCGCAGTAGCGTTCAAATTTAGAAGGTAATAATATAAAATTATAATAGGTAACGTAGCTTTCATAAAATACCAAATTATTAAAGTTTTTTCTGGGGGGGGCCTAGCGATGTCTGGGGGGGCCCGGCCCCCCCAGGCCCCCCTGTAGTTACGCCACTGTCGAGCCGTTTTCCCAGAAAAATGCCAACACACACAAGGCCTATTCGGGTTTGAAAACAGGACGGTTCTAGAACGGTTCAAAACAATCGTACAGTTTATTGATCAGCAAAATAACAACGACTCGGCTATCACAAATTTCAATAATAAACTGTGCGATTCTTTTGGACCGTTCTAGAACCGTACTTTTTCCAAACCCGAATAGGCCCACACATACACACATACATACATATACACACAGACGGAAATGTGCCACCTTGACAAAAAAGTTTAAAATGATCCAAAACGTCAAGATTTAATGAAATTTTGACATGGTCAAAATCGGGACACAAATTACAATCAAAATTCAAAGATATATTTCAAAATTTAGAAAAAGAATATAATTTGACAATAAGCGGGCGGCGTAAATTCTCCACTTTATGTGAATGTTGCGCCAAAATTCATGTATTCAGCATTTGCGCCAGTTATGTCAAGTTTACGCTCATGAGAATAGTCGGCCAGAGAACTCGTTCTAAACTGTTCGTGATAAAATAATGGCGTTTTCCATTTGTTGCACGGAGGTGCACTCAGTCCAATTTTTACATTCCATTCGACTGCACATTATCAGTACCTACTGCCTAGGACTAGGACGTAAAAATTTGGACTTGCCTTGGGCGCCGAAGGTTCTAGTTGCGGCCCTGTTTATCAGTCTGTTTGTTGTCAGCAGGACCATTTTTATTAACCTTGCGTTCGGTATTTTGCTCAAAGAGCAGAGCGTGCTGAGCGGAGCCGTAATCACGTGACCAGCGAGCGAACAGAGCAGTTGAACGATGTATCGAAGTGCCAGAAATTTTAATAAACGAACGCGAATGAGCCTGCACTGAATTCACTTTCTATATAAACGAACGGTAACTTCAAGCTCGGAGAACTTAGATCAAATTACCGAACGCACGGTAAGCCGCTTTCCAGCTGACGCTTTTGAGCACGCAATCGAGCTTTTGCGCGCGCAAATGCTTCAAGCGCGTATTCGTGTTCCAGCCGTACTGCGCTTCGAGAGCTGCTAATTTTTGCGTTTCAAACACAGAACACTGAGCTGCACCGTGCTTGAAGCACACAGCTGGAAAGCGGTTTTAGTGAATAGCACTTTTATAGCCTAGACATTGCTTTGACAATTTGACGTTTTAAGCCTAGTACTCATAACTGCGAAATTCGCATTTAAGCCTAGTGCTCATAACTGCGAAATTCGCACTTTTTTGACATTGCTTCGACAATTTGACGTTTTATGCGTGTATCAAACGTCAAATTGTCGAAGCAATGTCAAAAAAAGCGAATTTCGCAGTTATGAGTACTAGGCTTATAGCCGCTTTCCAGCTGTGTAGCACGGTGCAGCACAGTGTTCTATGTTTGAAACGCAAAACTTAGCAGCTCTCGAAGCGCAGTACGGCAGGAACACGAACACGCGCTTGAAGTATTTGCGCGCGCAAAAGCTCGATTGCGTGCTCAAAATGGTCAGCTGGACAGCGGCCTAAGGAGGATTTTCATGCATCCGTTTTCCGTCAAAATATGTCCGTTTAACATTCTATTCTGACATATTTATGTACGATTATGTAAGAATAGAATGTTAAACGGACATATTTCGACGGAAAAACGGATGCATGAAAATCCTCCCCTATGCTTATGAATATCGGGCTTAGGTGCGACAAACAGTTTTCGAAAGTACGTGTACGCCCCGGAGCTGTTTCGGAGCTCCTCCTAGCAGTAGGTTCGGTATTATGATCTGAGTTCTCCGAGCTTGAATTTACCCTTCGTTTATTTAAAAAGTGTACTCGGTGCAGGCTCATTCGCGTTGGTTAATTTAAATTTCGAGCACTCGTGATTACGGCTCCGCTCAGCACGCTCTGCACTTTGAGCATAATACCGAACGGTTTGTGTGAAAGGTAAACTATTGTCAGGCTTATGTCAAATGTCAAAATTTGAACGTGCAAAAACATAAATCTTCCCCTCCTACTTCTAGACGTTGTTTTATGGTTTGGTTTGCGTTTTTTACCGACTTTGATAGAATAATAATAATTTATATTTTATATTATTGAGTGGTTGTTCTCAGTCGTTGATATTGCTAAAGCTAGGACACCCTTACCTGAAATGGACCCTTCTCCATCGAATGAAGGATGGAACTCTTACAAGGAACTAAAAACGATGGTTTGGAAATATTTAAACCAAAAGCCAGATTCCAATCTACCTTTTATGGATTTCGAAAACGTTCTGTGCAAATATAAAGAAGATTTTTTCGCCCTTTTAGAATATCCGGTAAGCTTTTAAAACATATTACAGAAACGTAATTTTTATGTGCTGTTTTCTGGTAATCTAACCTTAATTTTTTCCTAGCCTAAGAATGCAAAGAAGCGGGAGGATCTGGAGAAGAGGATGACTGATGCTGTTAATGTCAGGGGCTTAGGAGAACAAGTCTTATCTACACAGATATATGAGGAAGCAATTCTTTTGTCTGATTTATTTGATCTCGATGAGTTTATAGCTCTCGACTTACTTTGTAATGCACAGATATCATCTCCCAGCTATCCAGGTATGGTTTACAAGTTTTATTAAGAAAATTCTGGTTTATAAAGGAAATAAAATAGGGGTGTTTAAACATTTGAGTGCAAACAAAACGTCAAGCTTATTGTAAACTGCATTCTTAACATTAAAAATAGATTTTTGAGACTGATTATGCATTAGTTTTAAAGAAATATCTATAAATTAAAGTGGTCCTTTTTTAAAGTTGAGTATGCCATGTCCGTTTGCAGCATCTTGCACAAACTACAAAGTCTAGAACTGTGCTATTGGGTAATCTAATGACCGGTTCATGCCTTGCATCTCTCAATAACCAAATGACAGTTGTGACATGTACACATGAACCTATGGTTCATGCACCTGTTTTGCACTGGCAAATAGTGACCTAATATAGGCCCATTTTATTGCTCAATATTTTCATCGGCTACATGTTCTGGTTTATACGAAATAACATCGCAAATAACTAAATGGCATTTTACTTGATTTCTGTGCCTTGACCCATGTCAATAACTAGAACCATTGATTTTTTTTGAACTCATATTAAGATGTGAGCGTCCTGCCAAATATTGCATTGCAATGTTTTGCTATGATTGCGTTAAATTTGTTACGAGATCTATTCATTGACACATCAGTCAATTATTGTTACATGGTCATAATCACTTGATCCAGTCTTTTACACCCACACCAATCTCAGATAACGTGTTTTACTAATAAATACACATAAAAAAACCTTTTAATCATACTTAAACTCTGCCCTCAAACATAGGGAATAAATTAGACATAGATACATTGAGCAATAAAAAATATTAGTTAATTTGTTTGTGTTAACAAATCTCTTAATTTTTCTCATCTGACAGGTAACCAGCAATTTCACATTTTCAAATGACGCAGATATCATCTGATTTCTTTCATAGCTGGTAGAGTGTTGCCAAATACTGTATTAATGAAGTTTTTTTATCAAGAACGTCTCTGGGACGACGAGTTAACTTGTTTTGATAACATTTATCTTTACATTTCAATTACTGGAGCACTGTCAATAACTGGTGCATTTACCTTAACCTTTTCAAGATTTGTATTCAAAAATACTTTGTCATATATTTTCAAAACTACTAATTTCAGAAAAATAATTTAAACTTGAAAGTTCCCAAGGTTAGAGATGTAAAAAAACGGTTTTTTTTCAGATTTGAAAAAAAACATTGAAAAAAAACAAGTTTTTGTTCAAAGTTAAGTAAAAAAAAACAAGTTTTTGTTCAAAGTTAAGTAAAAAAAAACGGACATTTGACGACCCTGGAGACGTAGTTACAGTCTGAAAATTCTTCATACAGCGAAAGTGTCTTATATCAGTGATGTTCTGTTCTAGTATGTATGTTGTATGAATATGATGAATGTGTGATCTGATATATGATAGTTCATACATGGATGTACCATGTACCTGACCCGAAAACATGTTTCATTTACATAGGAATAGGTCTGTTTCTGCAGAAATCACAAACCAGTCAGAGTGAATTTCATTGGTTGAAATTAGTTTTCTGACTGTTTTCAACCAATGAAATTCGCTCTGACTGGTTTGTGACTTCTGCAGAAACAGACCCAATATTGTTCCTATGTTATTTCTATAAAGAATAAGGCAATATTTTACGTTTTATCCATATTTCACTGCTTACTGCTTAAACCAATTTTTTGTCCCAAGAAAAGTTTAATTGGCAAAAAAAGTAAAAAATGCGCATATGGTGCTAAGTTTAGAAAAAAAACACAAAATCTGAAAAAAAACCATTTGAAAAAAAACCATGAAAAAAAAACTTGAAAAAAAACAAAAAAAACGGATTGTTTTTTTCCACCTTACATCTCTACCCAAGGTTCATGGTTCATGTGCTCTACAAGATTGGGACCTGCAATTTTGGTATTTATCGAAAAAAGAGCTGGATGATTTGTCGAGGGAAGTCATGGGTAAAGGCTCTTACCAATTTTTCATGATACAGAATTCTTTTATTCCTACAAAAAGTCCTAATTCCAGCAGTAATCCCTGATTTCTTAATTACAAAAATTCGGTTGAAATAGTTTTTAAGAATACCCAAAAAAGGTATCATAAGCATTATCCACAGTCACACTCATACAGAGGCGCCCAATCTACATTCTGAAGTTCATGCCCAAATTGACTCGTTTTATTCTTAGAAATAGCTCTTGTTACAATAAAGTGGTACCCCACAGCCAGAGCTCCGGTTGCAAATCACATAATCAATCAAAGCGGATGTTTATGCTGCTTTTTTGCTAAAATATTTTCGATAAGTCGTCGTTCGCCTTTCTCAGCTGGTCGGCCAGATAGCAAGCAGAGTGATCCCTCGAAGCTACTCTGTCTCCGGGCAATCGCCGTTGATTGAATTTTGATTATTTTTCTGTGTCAGGATAGGGCGTTTTCACACTGGCCGACACAACACTGGTACGACAACGACGTCGGTAGACGCGTAAGCTCATGTAATCCGGCTTATTGGGTCGCAGTAGAGTGGTAAAAACGAGCTATCTGCGGCCAAGCAATATGGGGCCGGGTTACAAACTGGATGGGTGACCGCCATGTCACCCGATGATCTGGGCACCGCTAGCGTCGGTCGACCGTCCAACTTGCAGAGTGAATGAGGAGGAGTAGGGCATGTGCAAGGATACACAATAAGTCTTTAAGGCTGCAGTGCTGAGCACATGCCTGAAAGAATGGATAAAATCAATCAATCAAATCAAGCTCATGTAATTGAATGGGAGCACTTTCGCACTCGCCGATATTGTGCCATTATATACATACATCAAAATGGTCTAGGAAACAAAATACCTATAGCCATCAGAAATTTTGCTGATTTTATTTATAAAATATTCAGATTGAACAAGCTTGCAAAAAAAGCTGATATGGTAAAAATGAGTGTATTCAAATCCATGAAATATATTATCCACACCTCATAATTTTGAAACCTACTTGCAACTTTTGCGTTTGGTCGGCGACCATTTAATATGGCAAAACTCTTTACACGTTGTACCCACTGAAATGCCTTAAGCTGCTTAAAAAAAACATGCAATTTTTTTCTGCTTAGCTTGTTTCTTGTGGTTCATTTTTGGCCCTTACCTCTCTCTCTCTCGTTCACATTCCGACGTGAATATTACAAGGAACATTTTGGACATTTATTTTTGGAAGAACCTGCTATTTATTTATTATTGTAAATTTTGAAAAATCTAAGATAAAGGTAACTTCCTAATATCTAGACAATAATGAAATACTTTCCACTTCGGTATAATATATTACTGCTTTTTTATTTAGGAGAATCAAGAGGTTTGATAGCAATTCTATTATATTATGAAGGAAGAAAATCACTGGTTACTACTTTACTATACTTAGTTCAGGTATGACTAAGGGTTAACAAAAGATCAGCACAATTTTATTGTATGTTAATTTTAGGCAAGAAATGGAAACCTATGGAGTGTTTGTGATCAACCCGACATAACTAGACTTGTAACAGAATATACAGATCAACTCATGGATGCAGGCCTTTTTAATAAAATTTTTCATCTTTTGAGAACATTAGATTTCTCTACAGAGATTGAAAAACTTCAAGAAAATAAGGCACTAGGTAAGTTTAGTAAAAAATAGCGAATTTTTGACAGGAATTAGAATTTAGAGAAAATTAAAAAAAAAAATTGTTGAATGTTGAAGGCAAAACTTTTACACTTATATTATCATGCATTCGGTCCAAAATATTTGGAGAAATGGCTTCATCATCAAATGGCCACTTAGGAGAACTTGTATGTGCAAAATTGCTGCCAATTGACTTTGAGGCAATTACTGCTGTTTTGTCTGGATTATCTGGTGGAGATAGTTTGCTCATCTGTCAAGTGATCAATTAATCCTGAATTCTTGACAGTGTGTGGAATCTTTCAGGCGCTCTTTGTAATTAGTTTTGATTGCTACAGAAATCATCCTATTGTTTTTGTTATTATTATTTTTTATTTTGTATTTCATGAATCCCAATGCATATTTTTTCTATAATAACCTTATTATTATTTTTTCTATTAAAATCGTTTTTGTCGTGTTTCTGTTTTGTTCATAAAATACTTCATTTTATGGGAAATTGATTGATGAAGCAAAATTAATTGAATAAGCACAGAATGCAGACTAAATTCCAGTTATGCTATGATTTTACATGACATTTCTAACCAATCAGATCTCAATAGTGGTTATGGGTTATGATTTGTTGATTGTCTATTGGCGTATTCGACTACCCAGCGCTGGCTCCGATCAAGTTCGAAAAATAATGGTGCACTTGCACTGAAATCAAAAGCGGGTATGTGGCGATTCGATCGCGCGCTGGGTCAGTGCGAATTGTCAAAAAAAGTGAACTGGCTTCGTGAAAATCCGAGTTGAAGCGTTCGTGTGTGCCCCATTATTGCACTTGGATTGCGTTTACTTTTTCTCCAATTTCACGTTACCTCAAAGTTCAAATTGATAAATTTTGAAATTTATCCCGGATTTCCGATTCAATTTCCGGCAATTGTCTATTTTAAAACACACAGAAATAGTATTAAATGATGAAAATGAGCCAATAGTTATGGCAGATGGCAAGCATTTGTGTCATGTTGTAGATGCAAATGGTGATGATAATAATCATAATACATCTGCAGCTAATAATAACAACAATTTCCTCTTTTTATTATTCATATTTCACAAACTTTTTTTGTAAACAACATTCAAAAACGCAAAATAAATAATTTAAAAAAAAAGACGGATTGAAAATTTGAGGTTATTTTTTCAAAGAATCCAGTGCAGTTTACTTGAACCGCCAAAAATTACAGTTCGAAAAAGTTCGAACGCTGGACGAACCACGCTAACAATCCAAACATAACTCTCTGCCCGCGCTTAGCTCGGGTAGTCGAACACGAGAAATGTTTGCTCGTTTATGAGCTGAATCAACCCGAACATAAATTATTGCACTGCACTCGCAAAATGCGAGCCGAGTGCGCACTAGTGCTGGTAGTCGAATACGGCATATGTTTTGTGTTTTAAAGCATTATGTTCTGGACTTTAACCAAAAGATCTTCACTTGCAAGCCTAGCTAATAAATTAATTGCTATTAATTTCCTATCAGTTGCTAATAATTCCTAAAATTAATGAGTCAAATTGATAAACGCTATCGATTATATGATGGGAAATATACAAAAGGAGATGCTATGACTCATTTTTGGCTAGCCAAGAAAGTCTATTAAAAATGTTCATCAAATTTGCAATTCTAGGTGGCCCAAAGCACAGAGATCAAGTAGTGAATGTATTTAATTCCATAAGATATACATTGGCAGATGTCGTATTTTCATGGGCAGCCCAGAGCGGTCTTCCAAAAGAGGTCACATTTGAGCTCCTTTGTTATCTTAGAGAGATCAAGCTAGAACAAAAGTCTTCAGGTATTATGGATGAAGTGACTCTTCTTCTTCAGGTATTACTAGTAATTAGATTATCTTTAATGTATCATTGGATTCATGATTGGATAAAGATGTTGACTTACATTTTTTGTTACCTAACACACAAAAGTGTCTTTTTTTTTTGCCCAATACACATTATGTATCATTTTCTCTGATAATAAATAATAAGTTTGATTAAGTAATGTTTTCAGATGCGCCTGTTAATTCAATAGTATATAAAAAAAGATTGGCAAAAGAAAGATAAAGATTAAAACAAAAGAACAAGTTCCCATTAAGAATGTTTAAACATTATTTGCGAAATTGTCTAGCACCACACTTCTATAACAATCAGATCTCACCTATGATATTGAAAAAACTCTGCGATGCCACAAGTTGCTTTTGTTCAATGTGATTTTGTTTTAGTTGAGTTTCTTGGCTGCTTTAGATTTAAGTTTGTTCATTCCGAAGGAAGGCGAAAAAGTAGCAATGACATCTCCAATTTTATCTGATGAAAGTTTTATTCCAAGGATTGCTTTTGAATTTTTGACGCCAAGACATTGGGGTTGTGCAGGTTGTCATTTATTTATTAGTTAATGAAATCATTGTACATTTTCATTTTATTTTAGGCATACACGCTTTATGTGGGCTTGGAATAGCAGTATGCTTAGCGTACATTAGAATGACACCACAAAGTTCTACTTATCAAGAATTTATCGACCAAGAAGATGATATAGTAGATTCTGCGATTGAACATGATGTATTTGGTTTCATAGACAATGTTCTACTTGAAAACCAGAGACTATACAAGGTACCTTTGTTTGATATTGAATTATTAGAATACTCTTACAAAGTATTTATTGTTTTTCAGGAACCATTTTTATACAACACACTGCACAATTTTCTAACAGATTTTATTATATTCATGTTTCCAAAAGTAAAAGAATTAAGAATGAAGTCAAATGAGGTTTCTAGAACTTTGTTACTTTATACTAGGGAAGGATTGCAACCTCCAGATAATTTGCCAAGGTAATACATGTTATTTTCATTATTTGCTAACAGAAATTTGAAAATATGAAAATCTATACATTTTGAGATGGTTCAAAACTGAATTTAACAATCTCCCTTGACTACTACAGAATGATAGGATAGACCTTTTGAGAAGACATTATTAGGCAACTTGCTACTATCTTATACCATTGTTTCATTCAGTTCCAAATTTACGATTAGGTTATTTAGAGGAACAACAAAGACAGAAAGATACTGACAGGTTAGCCAGATTGTTCTACACCATTTCCACTTGTAATTTAAACATTATAATTTATGATCGAAAAATAAATTTGAAGTTTGGAATAGGAATGGTAATTTGATTTTTAGAAAACGTAAAGTCAATCAAATAAAAAATTTATTTTGAAAAACAACACTAATTTGAGAAAAGATAAAATGTAATTTGGATAAATGGAAAAATGACCTCAGTACTAAACTGACTTCATATTTTGAAAGTTTCAAAAATCAATTTTTATTTTCCAAACTACATTTTACCTTATCTAAAATACAGTTGCCGATTTCCAAAATATATTTCACTCTTACCATTCACAAGTTTTATTTTCCAAAATTGAAATTACCTTCCAAATTAAATTGTTTGTGTTCCAAAATTAAGTAAAATAACTATTTTTAATTTTAATTTACATCTTCCAGAATTGACCTTACAATTTTCAATTTTATCTTACACAATTCAAACCTAATTTTTTATTATCCAAATAACAACTAGAAATGGCGTAGTACACTCGACAAGACGGCAGACGCGAAATAGAAAGGATCCAAGAAGAAATCGATTGCAAAATAGAACCACTCAAAGGCGAAAGAGGGACCACCGTTCGCGAAGATTTTGAGAAGAAATATGAAAAACTAGAAAAGAAAATTCGTGATGAACCTAGCAACAAAACCGACAGTAAAATGAATTTGTCGTTACAAGGATAGCTCAAACTTTGACAGAAAAGTATTGGTCTATGCATAAAAGCCAGTCGTGAAGTTGGTGTTAGTGCAGAGGCATGAGATGAATAGCGAAAGGAAACAGCATTGATTTTGACATTGAGGGAAAAGGCGCTAGAAACTCTTCAGCATATTTCTAACGCAAAACAAAGTGATTATGCATCTATTGAAGGCGCCTTAGATTACAGAAACAGGTACCGTCAGCGATATTACTGATACTCTTCATAATGATCATCGAACAAGCCTACGCCTGTGACCTGCCCAATGCCAAATAGACTTCAAGCTCTATTCTTGGCCCAAAGTCAAATGCCCAGGAGCTTGAAGCGATAAATACTCTGGCTGATTTCTGTTCTTTTCATGGTTTATGCCTGCTAAATTGTGTGCGCAATTCTACAAGCAACATTTTGGACATCGATTTGTCAGATTACACCCAAAAATCTTAGACGATGCTCTAATCCCTGGAGATACCTATCACCCGCCCATCCATAAGTTTGCAAATGTAGCAGATTTTGTTAATACCACTGATTCTATTCTGATAAAAAAAGCAAACTTTGTGACAGAATGAACTCTTCACCTATACGGTCTATACACCATCAATGCTAATGTTTGGCAGACAACCAGCCAATGGAGACGAATCTGTATTCCCAATATAAGGGTTTTTTTTGCAACATAATTTTTTCAAAGGTCATGTTCGATTATGTCCAGTAATATGAGGATTACCCAATGACATTTGCATTACCCAACATAATCGAACATAATCTTTGGAAAAAATATGTTGCGAAAAATTGCCTATAGATGTGGCTTCATAAATGGCACTCATTGCACACCTTCAATGATAGCAACGCCGCCTGGTTGTATCAACCACAGCATAGTAAGGAACAAAGTCCCATATTACAGACAGTGGAAAGGACCATACAAGTTCGTCAAGAAGATCAACATACAATTAGTTCATAAATATGACTGATAAATGACAAATGACTAAATAGGCGCTCATCAGGTCTTTGCCTGCTCACAATTAATTCCACCATTCAAAATTATATCAAAAATACAGAAAATTATTTTTTAGAAAATAGTCGATTCCGAATCACTTCAAATTCTCTCGCTTTCTGTTTGAGCCTCAAGTGACAGTTTTATAGTAGCTGCAGTTAAAAGCGATTGAGTGTGATTGTGAAGCGATTCTCAAATTTCTAGTTAAATATTTCTATTTCTTGCCAACTTGGGTAAAATTATCACTGTTATATTATTAGATAATTTAATTTCAATTTCAGGCATTTTGAGTCCCTATTATTATCGATCGGAAAGTTTTACTCAAAAAACAAATTTGGTGAAAATTATAACTTAGTTTGGTGGAATCCGATGGAAATATATCTTGATCGCAATAAAAAAAACAAATCTTTACCTTCAAACAAATCTGTAACGCTATTTAAATTTATAAAGATGGCCGGTAAGTTAGTCACCAAAATGTTTCGGAGTATAAATTAATTATATTTTAGGTGATAATCTACCATCCACCCTATTTGTTCCTTTCTTAACCATGCTTAACGGCTTATCAAGTTCAAAAGAGACTGCTAAATTCTGTTTTGACATGTTAAAGCAAGCAGGTGTTCACTTTCCTGGCACCATAAGTTGGGATCACTTTTTTCAGTGCTTTAGTCAGTACTATATCAAACTAAAGCATGATTCGCCAGCACAAATGGATACAGTCTATAGAATAAAACCTATCCATAAATCAGTTAATCCTGAGGAGTTAGAAGGTAAAATATTTTGAAGTAGCTTTTATTTATCATCTGTTCAGGTATGATCCACGTGCAATATTAGAGGCCGAAAGCATATACATTTTAAACTGATCATCGTGGTGACATCATTATACATGGTGATTGATTGAGTGGTTGATCCTTATTTTTAAATCGGCTTCTACAGATTTTAAGGCAAAAAATATTATTTTTAGACAAATTACTTAATAGATAGGTATACAATCAGATACCTAGTTATTGCTCAATTGTTGATTAGCATTACATATTCTCTGTGAATGGCATCAATCCATTTTCTGTGGATAACTAGGAAAAGAGAACACATTTATTTCCATCCATCTTTTGAAAGTTTCTGTAGCTGCTATTTCAACCTGAAATATAACACATATGCAGCATGGATTTATTTTATTAGCGCATAGTGCACACAAATTACAGCGTGATTTAATTTATACTGCAATGGTCGATCTCTAGTCGCTCGCCATGTTTCAAAACACCCTTTTCTTGGTTGAAAATTTGCATAACAAACGGTAATAAACTAGCTTAACAGAATGACCAACTAAAGTCTCCCACACGGAAGATAAAGGACAACGCATCAGTTCAACGCCTGAAGTCGGAGAGGAAGCAAATGCAACACAAAATCGTAGCGACAGAATTTAATAACTTCACAAACTTACTAAAACGATCGAGAAATATCAAATAGGCTGTGGACTAGACAAAGACAACAAATAATGCGGAGATGTTGTGTTTTTTTCGCGAACAGGGCTGTTGCATTTCTTCGTTCCTTTATCTTTCATATTGCGGACTTTGGTTACTTCAAAAAAACCTAACGTCAGCCAGCTATCCTTACGGCCTCTATATTCACTTATGGTCGTTTTGCGTTATTTTTTGGATTTTTGTTCACAAACTAATGTTCAACAAAACTATAACTAATAAGTTTAATAATTTTCAGGACTTCTAGCAGTTCTTTCACTGTTGCGAACAATAGCTAGTCAGGACGACGATTTACGTGCTACTTTTAGTAAACATCCTAACTGGGCTTCTTTACCAATTTTATTAGGTACATACAAATATTTGTGTTTTTTTTGTTTTTTTATTAAAATTGTATTCTCTATTAGGTCTCGTGAGTTGTCATATTCCCCTAACCTTGAAGGCTGATATATTGAAAACTTTGAGTATCTTTTCAAAATCACTAGAAACTGCTAAGGAAATGTGGGATAACTTGGAGGCCTCGCAGATTTTAGTTACAGTGCCTACAACATCTTTATATGCACCTAGGTTAGCAAATGTTGAAATATTGCAAACTTCTATAATCTTTCTGAATATTTGTTTTAATTTAGGGGAATTGAGACTGAATTGGATGAAGTAGAATCGAAAATGGGCGAGTATCCATTAACTAAAGCGATTTTGGAATTACTGAATACTTTAATCAGCTATGGTATTCCTAAAATATTAGGTGCTGGCACAAGAAAACCAGGCTTTGATCCCTACTTATCATTTATTCTTAACTCAGTATTTTTGAAATACAATTATAGGTAAGTTATTTTATTTGGCTTATCAGATTATATTACCAATATTTAGGAGAGGTAGTGTTTTTTTGTGTCTAAATTATCTCTCTGTCATCTACATTACCAATATTGTTACCCGGTTTCTTTGAAAACTCATCTCGAGTTTTAGGACAGTTGAAACACTCAATTGAACTGTTTTTTTTTTAGAGGCTACAAGACTGGTTTAGAAAAGTGGGATGTTGCAAGAATGTGCCTGAAATTGTTTGTAACCATGTTGAAGCAGTATGATCCTCAGGTAACGACTTTAACTAGAAAAAGTTATATTTGTTATATTTTTTAAGATGGAAGAAAATGATGTTTTTTTTTTTTATAAATAAGTTTCAACAAAACGCAAGACAAAACGGCAAGTCTTTGTGCAGTTTTTTTTTCTTTTGAAAAAATACTCTTATAAGAAGTCATTTGCTGAAATATTGCCAGTAAAAAGGCACTATTCTTGTATCATTTTTGGTTTCCATATAGAAAACTATGGAAGGTTTTGGAGATTTTCAGAAAACCCGTGACCTTTCGGTGTCAAACTCAGTATAGTCTAAATAAAGTTACTTGGTACGGCTTTTAACGATTACGAAGCAAGTCAATGTGGACTTGATAGACCTGATTCGTCACTGCCGACCTCAGATTTGCCGTATGGCTTCTGGTCATTCTGTTGTCTGGGGCGATATGATTTTCGGTGAGGCGGTTGGTTACACTCGGAAGTGGATGGCTTGATACATATACGTGCATACATAAACGTGCAAACAACAACGTGCATGTCGACTTTGTAAAGACACTTGCACAAAACTGTCAGTCTTGCTACAGTGTTCCAAGTGTGCATACAAAATTTCTAGCGATTCCAGAATTCACCTGACCGTCATTATACCTCTTGCACATTCAAAAACACGACGGTATTTTGCATACACATTGGGCGGTTACACACGGACGTGGATGTCTTAATACATATACGTGCATACATCAACGTGCAAACAAGAACGTGCATGGCGCTTTTGTACAGACGCTCACACAAAACTGCAGTCTTGCTATTCTTGCTACAGTATTCCGTGTGCATACAAAATTGCACATTCAAAAAGGCGACGGTATTTTGCATACACATTGATGTTTTTGTTTGTACATTCATGTATGTGCGTACATGTTTTCAGACATCCACGTCCGTGTGTAACCGCCTAGGTTTTTGTTTGCGCGCTCATGGATGTGCGTAAATGTTTTCAGACATCCAAGCCCGTGTGTAACCGCCTATGTGAGAGACAGTGCATTACATTAAGTTTATTTGCTTAGTTTATTGATTATTTATTATTTTTAGTAGTGCTTTCTATTTTAAATTACTTTTATTTAGGTGCATACAGGGTGATTTACGTAGCCCGTGCATTAGCTTGCAGGTTGATTAGATGCTATTTCTGCTAATCTACCTGCAAACTGGACAACTTCCTATGCACGGGCTACGTAAATCACGGTGTCATAAGCACTTTTTAAAAAATCACGCTCGTTTTACAAAAAAACCACCAACCATTTCCGGGATTGAGTTTTTATACAAGTGTCTTCGTATAGACTTTAATTAAATCACTATTTATTCTTATATCGCCTACGGTTTCCGAATAGAACATTACAGAAGTTCTGGAACTTTTCAGTTTGTGAACCAGTAAAAAACTCACTATTTTTGTATCGCTCACGGTTTCTAAATAGAACACTTTAGATTGTTCTGGAACTTGTTTTTTTGTTGTGAAACCCCCTAATAATGTTACTGTTTCAATTCAATGAAAGTTCACTTATTGTTGCCACTAAGTAGTTCAAATCAATATACTAATTATTTATTTATTTATTTATTTATTTATTCAATGAGATATCAACAGCAAATTGCCAATTACAGATACCTGTATGCTTAAAATTAATCTTATAGAAAAGATATTAAACAGATACTCTAAATACAAATGTCAAAATACATACTACCTAACAAAAATTGGTTCTAAGAAGAAGACAAATAATTTAAGCTACGTATGGATAAAATCGGATAACATGATAAAATAAAGACATTATAACTATTAAATATAAAATATACGATGCGGTAAGTACAAACAGGTATACAGACCACAGATTACAGCAAATTTAAATTAGAAAAACTAATAAAATTAACTATTGATAAAATTTATACTACGATCCGGCTACTACCCAAAATTAACTCTGGCGCAATTTTTTGTCAATTAAGTTTTTAAATGTTTTAAAGTTTATCAGGTCTATGTCTATGTCAGATGCATACAAATTAAAAAGATTGCAAAGACCATAAATGGGGGAGCTTTTAAATAGGTTGGTTCGTGGAAAAGCTAGGTAGAAGATATTTGTGGTTCTAGAATTACAACGATTTACAGAAAATGGTAATTGTTCAAGGATATAGGGGCCTATTTCATAAAAATGAAGAGTTGAGGAGTGAGGAACGACATAATGTTACATTTCATTTCATAAACGTTTTGAAGAGTTGAGGAGTAGACGCAAATTTATTTTGAAACAAAAACGACGTTTACTTTTTTACTCCTCAACTCTTCACTCTTCACTTGTCGCTCATCAACTCTTCATTTTTATGAAACAGGCCCCTGGGCAGTCGATGTCACCCTTCAGAATTTTAAACATAGTACATAAGAAAATCTTCACACGTCTCTTACCCAAAGATAGTCTATTGAAAACTCCTAAGAGGAAGCCATTATCACAACCCCTCTGAGGGTAGACTCCAAACCTTCTGTAATACATAGTCTTTAAAAATTTTCTTTGCACTCCCTCAATAATATTTATCCATACGTTATATTGGGGCGACCATATCAAGCACCCATACTCCAAGATAGGCAACACCAGACTATCAAATAAATGAAGGCTTACATCAACCCTAAAAGTCTTAGTATTGCGTGCTATAAAATCTGCTATCCTCTGTGCGCTCTGTATCTTTGTTATAATGTGTTCAGAGAATGAAAGACTGCTGTCCAAAATGACTCCCAAGTCCTTCTGCTTACCAACTTTATCAAGTTTTTCGCCACTCATGGTATAATTAAAATCTATTGGTTTCTTATTAAATGTAAAAGACATACAAGCACACTTGCTTGAATTTAACTTAAAACTATTTTCTTGACACCAATTAACAACATTAGGAAATTCGTTTTGTAACAATTCACAATCAATAGAAGAAATAATCTCCAAAAAAAGTTTAAAATCATCGGCAAACAAAAGAGCCATACAGCCCTTAACATTGCTGAGAATGCTGTTTATAGCAATTATAAAAAGTAATGGTCCCAAATTAGATCCCTGGGGTACTCCCGACGTACTCTGGTATAGAACAGACTTGCAGCCTTTAATCTCAACATATTGAAATCTGCCAGTTAAGTATGAACTTGTAAGTTTAATTAAAAATGGAGAAACTTCCATGTCGGACAAGGCATTTATTATCCCACAGTGACTAACTCTATCAAATGCCTTCTCCATGTCTGTATAAATTACGTCAACTTGAGTTTTGTTGTTTAAGGCATTATGGATATATTGTGAAAAACATGCCAGATTGGTAAGTGTTGACTTTTTTGGCAAAAAACCATGCTGATTGGGGGAAAGTTTTGCTGCAACTTCGTTATATAAAATCTCAAAAATTATGACCTCAAATATTTTAGATACAGCGCACACAATAGATATAGGGCGGTAGTTTCTAATGTCTTGCCTTATGCCATTCTTATAAATTGGTATGACCTTGGCTACCTTCCATTTATCAGGATATATTGAGGTTTTGATGACTAAATTAAATAAAAACTGAAGGGCGCTCAATAAATGCTCAGCACAACCTTTAAAAATATAGGCCGGAACACCATCAGGTCCGATTGCCTTGTTAGGTTTAATTTTCTTCAAGGCATTTTCAATGTCCGCCTTTGCAATTAATTTTTCACAAAAATGAGACTGCACTTTAGTTGAGCCACAATTGACTTGTCCAATATCAACATAAACTGACTTAAAAAAGCCAGCAAACCCATCTGCCACGTTCTGAGTGCCTGAGTAAATATTATTATCTAAATTCATTTCATTAAGTAAGTCAGGACTATCCTATCTCGGTAATCATCTCTCTAATCAGCTCAAACTAATCCTAACTAACCGCTAGTTAGCTCGCCAATTATTTCACTAAATAACTTAAATTATAAAGGATCAATTGGCTCATTAATTAATTATCCTACTTCTGACACCAAATTGTCAAGAATTTAGCTGGTCCACTAGAATCCTCTTTACTAACAACAAAAACTTTTATTGAAGTAATCGACTTTGCGAGAGTCACTAATCACTGATGGCTTTCACTCAACTCTATATAAACAGACTCCAACCTATAAACCAGCCGAAGTCATGAAATCTAATAGCGATTTCCATTTGTTAATCAGTGCGCACTGAGTGTATTCGCATTTTTTTCTAAAAGCGTGTAAACTATAAGGATATAGATACATTTCATTTGCACTAATTCTGCAAATGGAAATCGCTATAAAATTCTTGCAAATGCCTCTCTAATAGAATCACTTTAGTTCATTTTGTCGTCCGCGTAAAACAAATTAAATTTTAGTAACCATTATATATTTTTTCAGGCTTCCGATTTCCCTTCAACCACAAGGCGTGATAATTTGGACAGTCCTCCAGGTTATCATCTCTCTGTGCAACTGAATAACAAATCAGAAACTCTACAGGCAATCTTAGATATTATTGATGAAGGCATTGGATTCTTCGAGACATATGTTTCCATGCCATTCCATGGGAGAGAGATGGTAGAGGAATGCACTCTATTATGTCTTCATATTTTATCTAGAAGTTTGGCATTGCAAGTTAAATTTTTCCATATCCTATCCACAACATCTGCCAATATTATCTTGACAGGAGTCAATAAGCTTTTATTGTCACTTAATAGAAAATCAGGGAAACCAGACCATTGTCTCAATATTGCTGAATATGTCAGCTATCAACTTTATTTACCTAACCACTCTCATTGTGCTGTTAAAATTATCAGACAATTAACATCTAATGTTGGTCTTCACAGCCAGTTAATGGTTATATTGAGTTGCTCAGAAAAAAAGCAAAAAATAAGAAACGGATTTGTTCAATGTTTGGATGTCTATCATGATGACCAACAAGATATTACTAAAACAGAAATATTGAAGTGAGGCATAAATGGTCCAAATCTGTAAAACAATACTAAACAATATTTTTTTAAGGTTATTAAAACAATGTCTGCCCTACAAAGCGCCAAACCTCACACATTTTTTAATGGGATTTGATGTAGAGCATGGTGTTTCTACAACCGAATTCCAATATCCTGGCGTAATGGATTTCCCAAGGACTTGTTTCCATTCCATTTTATCCATTCTTGATACAAATATTTCTAAAGCATCTGAATCAGTGAATGAAGATCTTTTGGAATCTGCTTATCATTTCCTCTACCTTCTGGCTGCCAACCCGAAGACAAGCGGTCCTGTTTTAAGTTTTGTTAGGAACGACAAACAGTTTTTCCCGCTTCATTTGAAAAATTGCCGACAACCTGAGGACATGAGTAAGTACATGTTAGATGCACCTTTTTTCTTTACCTGTTCTCAAATAGCAACTTTCCTTCACGGATTTTTATCGTGTTCAATTGAATAAACTTTTACGTAGTTGTTTTCAAATTTGAGGGTAACATCTTTTATGTGTCGTGGATGTTAATTTATTACAGAAATAGTTATAATTTCGTGAATTAGTACATAAATTAATTTTTTCAATTTTTGCAACAGTTCTTGGACTTTATGAACTTTTTGACAATTTAACACTCAGATTGGTCATCTAATAATTTCTTGTTACTTACCCACTGACTATTCTTTTTGTAGCCATTATCACAACCTCGACCATTTACTAGTAACAATATATTTTCAACAGATCCAACTCGTCTATATCAAATATCCTGGCTATTGAAAACGTTGGCAATTGAATTAAAAGTAACAAGCACTCTAAAACAAGTTAGTTATATCAAAGAACTCACCACCTTCCTAGCCAACATGCCAGCAACCGATGAGAATGAGAAAAGAGATAATTTCTTTTTAAATCAAAATTTACCATTTGAATTAAAAGACTTAGGAGGTAAGACATTTTGTTTATGTATTATGTAATACATTTTGAATTTTATTAAAATTTTTATAAATACAATATCTATTAGGTCAAATTTGAAAAAATGCTCAATTGCTCGAAGAATGTACGCTCTTCGACAAAGCAGCATTAATTTGTCAGGATAAAAATAATTGGGGTATGTCACTTTGTCGATGTTTCACATATACCTAAATTCTCATCAGGGCCGAAACTAGGACAAACGCACTAAAATCAAGAAGCAACATTGTTCGAAATTATATGTTAACTAATATGTATAATGTAGTAGTTCAAATTTTTTCTCTTTCAACTCCAAGGAAAATTTCATATACAGCACCAAATTTCAAAGAGCACTGCAGGACCGTACTATGGATGGATATGAAAAGAATTTGCTAAATGTGAAAAGAAGTTCATGACATATTCAGTCCAATTCATGCTAAACAATCTGCGAATCTGTCAGCATCTGATTTGAAATGCATGTTGCTGCAAAAGCGTCTTTAATTGTCTGTGATGCAATGTTTTAGTAGTCTGGCTACCATATATGCAAGGTCTCACGGAAAGTATTGAAAATAAAAAACATTGAAGAGTTAAAAATCAAAGTATGTGTGTATTTTCGATAAACTTGCTCGAATGCTGTAGCTTGAGATCCTTGAGATTCTAGCCCTAGTGCGATTTTTATGCAAAACCTAGTAAATAACTTGAGTCAGCTGAACACTCCAGAACCAGGGCAAATGATCGCATGAACATCTCAAAGTCAACAATATTGGGAAAAATAAAGTGAAGGCATGTTCGATCATACCTATATCTGGAATGTTCTCTAAAGTTGTAAAAGCTCAATTAAATACAGAGTTTTTTGCGCCACAGATCACCCACTTCAGAGTAATATTCTCTTGGTGCCTCTGCATTGTACTTTGAGTAATAGTCAGCTTCAATAAGACATTGTTTTTAACGCTCTTAATTGTTTAAGTCATGTTACAAAATGCACATTTCATGGATACGTAAATTTGTAACAATAATTAAGTAAAGCATTTACGGGAATTTAAAGTGGCAATGAAGTGACATTTATTTACAGAACAGAGATTTTTTTGCTAAAGCTTCTTTAGTGGAAGTGATTGATACAGTAGACGCCCAGTAACTCGATTCTCATTTTCTGAACGCCTGATCAAGTGGGTGCTTCCTAAAAAATATAAGTCCATTAAAATCCGTATCGTTCATATAAACCAAGTCTTATTCGAGATTCTGGCATAATTTGTTTGAACAGGTTTACGGCCTATCTTAATCGGAAGACAGGACGTACCTTAGATAGATAATATTCAACTTTCAATGCCATGAAATAATAATTTGTTCATGTCTTAGGGTATTCTTAACTTTTACTCTTGAATTTTGTCATATTATTTTAAATTTTTTTGCTATTGTCAACTGTTTCTTTGCTTTGTTGTAATGATAAAAATGTTGTCTTATTTTTCGTCTTAACCAAGCATTTAGGTGAAGATGAAACGTTAACAATAGTGACATGTCCTGATTTTATTTATCCTAAGAAAACTAAGTTATATAATAGTTATCTGTATTAGGTATACCGTCGCCTATCGGCGCAAGCCCGTCTGGTGGGACTCCAAAAGCCCGTAAACTGCATGCTTACAAAATGAAGAAAAACGTAGACGCTTTGGAGAGAGCTCGGACTTCAATTATCGAGTATGCAGACGCCTGGAAGCAAGTTGTTGGAGTACTTGTCAGCTTTGTCCCAATAGAAATTCTTGGTTTGAGTGACCAGCAAGTATTTAGCACTACCATTTTGGTAAATGTTCTCAGAAAAGTGACTGAAAACGAATTACTTCCTGAAGTCGATAGACTTTTGTCTGGATGCGTTTTACTCATTATGGATAATATAAAGAGGTATGTTTTTGATTGATTAATGACATGTTCTAATTATAATTAAAATGGGAGTACATGCGCCCTGGAAAATATTCGCCACCATTGACTGAATTAGAGAGAGAACAAAAAAAACCCTAGAAGCGATTTCTATGAGAAGTTTTAGTCCAGCGTTAAATCGTATTCTTTAAATGTACGGTTTAGGCATAGACGTTCTTAATACTTTCCTCTATTTGGAGCCAGATTTGATTCGATTAAAAAAAAAACTCGCAGAAGTCCAGCTACCTTTATTTGTTCTTCATTTCTTGTGACAAATGCATATTATCGGAAGCAGAAGTCATATAAATAAATTTGATAGTAACAGATGAAACACGTGATCTCTCTTAAATCATTTGTTGATGATATCAGCTAGACCTGCGTTTGTATTAATTCAGTATTGCAAGTCTCTGCCGTTGCAAGGGGATGTAAGATTTTTAGTGAGGTCCGCTACCAGGAGAAGAGGTTGCATATAAAATATAAAGTATTGTCTTAAATAATAAAATTCTTAATATATCTCGGAACTTGATTTTGAACAATTAAGGGGCGGATTCTTGAATGTGCAATATCTATAGCTGCTTGTAAACGAATTTCATTTGTTCAAAAATTATAAACGATAGAATTTGAATTGCTATACTTTTTTTAAAAGAACAAATTTGACCGACACTACATAATGTACACAATGGTAGTACGAAAATTATATTTATTAGAAAGTTGTAATCTTCTGTACAAACGCTATGCACAATTTTAGGCTGCACGCCATGTGTAAATGAAAGTTAAGACAAACAAATGAGCAAGAAATCAAAGACATGCTTTCACATGGCAACATGGTAACACATAGATAACACATTTGCCCGTTTTACAGCCGTTGCACCTCAATGCAACGCCGCAAATAACTGAAGCTGTAGAACATTTCTATTGCTGCAGCTTAGTCGTAACAGAATAGCATTCAGAACTACGAAATTCTCGTATTAAACATGACCAAAATGATTCAATCAATCTGTTTGAATGGTTAAAAATACGCCACCCATTTGACTCAGATATTAAGGAAGTGATCAATTAGTAGGTACACGAAATGTTGAAACGAAGTATTTGAACTCTGTTTAATCAGCACAGGTTGATGAGTTCAGGTTCTCCTATCGTCTTTCATTTTTTCTCGCCAATAGCTTCGTTCGAATATAGTGTTTGTGGAACAATTGCTGCGCTTGGTTCAAAATGGGAGTGTGTAGACTGTAGGTAAAAAGTTGGACGGTTGCGAAAAACTATATAATAGAATTTCTGATAATAAAATCTGCTAGATGCTATGGGAGTTTGGAACATTTTTATGTTTAGAAGACAGTTAAAAATAAAAAAAAGTTTCTAATTCCTTCTTTATAAATAGATTGGATATTTTTTTCTGTGTAACAATTTCGTCAATATAGATATATAATGTGTCTACAGGAAAGTCTGGAGAAGGTATAAATATTGTCAAACGACTTTCGTGTTTGATCGTATTCGTGAGATTCTAGGAAACGCTTCTGCTTGTTCCTGAATTACGTTGCCATCAATCAAATAATTATCCTGCTGGCTGTTTCTAATTGATTTATGCAGCGAACTTAGTTTGAATAATATTGTAATAGCTATCAACCTGCTCCAACTAAGTAAAAGAATTGTGGCAGTTTTTACCTGTCAAAATTTCTGCCACATAGCTGTCATAGTTATTGTGAACTATTACCTGAAGTAAACAAAAATCTGCTTGCAATAGTTACACCCAAAATGCTTATTTTAACGCAAATAATTTATGTGGTTCATTGTTATCATCCAAGCACAAAAAAAACTGTTTGGCAGTTATTAGACTACGTAGGCGGGCTCGCAGATAAGTGAGATTGCTTGTCCAAATTAGAATAAATTTTATTTAAAACAATAATAGAAAAATCAGGACTAAACTGGAATTACTTCAATCACGCTTAACTGTTAACGAAACTATCCCACTAACGTCTTATCAACTGTCCAATTCAGAATTTGGGAGGCTCATCTCTGGAGACCCAATGCGCTGCTGTCAGATTGTGCAGTTTACCCTGATTTGTTTGAAGCAAGAAAGTCTGCGAAAAAACTTAAGTAATTATCAACAAATTCTTTTTATACACTTCTCAGAAGCTCTTCAAATAAAGGTAGTTTACTCTTGACTATCTCCAAAAATGGATTTTAAAAATATTGACTAATTTGATTGATTTTTTTGATATCTCGGTTTAAGAACACGCAGGAGCATTTTTGAAATGAGATTATCAAACTGGAAATTCCTTTGACATTTACAACTTATCCAGACTTTTGCTGTGGAAGCACTAAATTTATATAATATTTCAGGCACTATTTGAAAGATAAAAAGTTCGTTAACGTCTTGTCTCACAACGTTGGGTAAGTTATATTTTATTTAATATCTTTATCACAAACATACTTAGTACCTACTCTCGAATATATGAATGTTCCTATTAATTTTATCTATTGTTTATTTTTTTATTTTTTTTTTTGTCTTTATATTAAGTACCTATTTATTTATTTATGGAGTGATCAAAATATATGATGAATTAAAATTTTATTTTAGTTCTCCCAAAAAAATTCTGGAATCGTTGATATTCTGGATCATGAATTCAAAGGCATCAAATGTGGCACTCAGAATCAATATTTACGCTGCTTTAGTGGCGCTCTTAGAATTTGGTAGCATGCAACGTGATAAAGAAGCTCTTGGCAGTGACAGCTTCTACTTGAGCCCGTTGGATAGATTAAAGTAAATTTCTCTTACTATTAATGATATAATAAAGAAATATGACGTCATTTTGTGTTGTAGACATAGTTTTGAGCCTAAAGGCAGGCTGCTCAATTTACATCCCAAAGATTTCGATCATCTTGGAGAAAACTTATTGGAAGTAATAAGTCTCGACTGTATAGGAGGTGAGTGAGCTTAAACTTTCTTGGTTAAAAATTCACTTATTCTGTGGGCTTATTTTTGTCAATATACATATTTTGTTTACAAGTTTGTTAAAGCCCTATGCTAATGGGGATTAACAAACGCAAACTCCGAACTAAACTATTGTGTTTGAGTCCAGCCAGTGCAGTATGGCAGACATTATACAGGATGCGCGGAAATAAATGCAACAAAATTTGGTCACAAATTCTTGAAAAAAGTAGTCCCCGTTTCGCAGTTACAGCCCCCTGAAATTCACCTGTAAGGATAGTCTTTGTTTTTATTTCTCAGAAACCTGTTGTACGAGAATCACTTATGGGTACACAGGGATTTTATGACATGTGGAATCGGGCAGAGCTACGCTTTTAGACAGAGGACCCCCTTACAATTTTTTGTGCGCCCACTTGTCCCAAAACTTTGGTTGCGTATTTGAATTTCCCGAAATATTTCCGCCCACCTCATTCAATGGCAGAATGTGAACGAATGCATAATGAGATTTGAATGATTTTGTACCTGTTAATCATAGGTGGCTGGTGTTGAATTTTTCATGCACAAAAAATTACCGTTTCTGACAACTACTGATTAATGTTAACTCTATAAAGTAAATTTACCACCCATTTTGTTAAGAGTCTGTGGCCAAATTTTATTGCATTTATTTATGAACACTCTGTATGTGTTTTACTTTCTATTCTAATGCACGCATTAGTAATAGCTTTGCAATATTTCTTGGGCTTTATTAGTCTTACCAAAACTCATAGGAAAAAAGACTTTTTGGTACACAGAAAAGACAAGGTCAATCAGCAGTTAGCATTTATAAGCAGAGAGCACAAAAAAATATCATATGAAGTTTATCAATAATAGCTCTTAGCTAACAAATATACAAACAAATAATACAAGAAAACGATACTTAGGTAAGCTGAATATATAGGAACATTTTCTTCAACATAATCAGACACATTTGATTTAAATTGTGTTCAAATTCTAGTAATACCTAACTGTCTTTACAATTTTGTACTTGTATATTCCTATAACATTTTAAGATATATCTTGAAGCTTGACTGGCGTTTTTGTTAATGTTTTAAATCTGACAAGACTGATTATATATTATACAAACATTACAGACATTGGTAGTTGAAATGATTTCAGGGTGGTTTTCCGCCGAGCGTTGGGAAACACTTGGTTATTAACCACTTTTCGCAAAAATCGCTTTTGAAATTTCCAAATCTTCTTCCTCCGCGATTGTGGTCTGAAATCCGACTCATATCATTAGAGGCATTTTCAGCTACAGTTATTTAGTTCACTTTACCTTGGTCTTATCGTGAAAAAGCCTGACGCTAATTTAGAATACAGCTGCTCAATATGATTGTCGATCAAGCCCAGAAATGTCATAAAATCTGTCTTCATGACGGCTAAAGTCTAAGCGAACATCATTCAAAATACACTTAAAATTTGAAATTTTTGTCTCTGACTCATCAAATGACAAACTTTACTGTCACACGATTTTTTTGCACTAGCCAGATCCTGGATTATCATTTCACCGGGATTATGTGTATGCCAAGTGTCATCAAAAGGATCTTGTATGAGAGTTTATTGAAAAAAAAATTCTTAAAAGAACGCCCAGCGAGACGCACAGACTATTTTTCCTTGATAATATAAAATACTGTAACGTAAGCGGGCTCATAGATAGGTAGAGACTACTCTTCTAAAATTAATCTACCACGACAAAACTACCACTATTGCAACACTTCGGTTAACTACAATCAAGTTTAACTAGTCACAAAACTAAACCACTACGCTTTGTCTTGCTATCGACTTGCGTTCGGCTAATTATTCGACTAATAACTTATTCGCGTTCAACTAACTAATTCCTGACAACCTGGCGAACAATTTACCACTAGCCCCGTCCCCCGGCCGCGATTTTACATAGTATACCATGTAGAGAGCATCAAGTGTATAAGCTCCGCCCCCAAGCCTCCGTATTAAAAATGTCTGTTATGCGGTATAGAATGTACACACACCGGCAAAATTAGGGGAACGGACTAAATTTACACTAAGTTTCACATGAATTTTCTCTGGAACCCTCCGCTCGATTTCGATGAATTTTTCACAGATTGTAGCTTGATTTTTCAGGAATACATCTGATGTATTACCGCTATCAAATGATTCGTCTTTATATCATATACAGGGATGGAAAGAAAGTCAGTAATTTTCAGAGTTTTTTTAGACGCCCTGTGGAGTGAACCACTGGAAATTCAGAACAGTTTTCAACACCAAATTGTAGCTTGCTTTTTCCCGAACATTTTCTTTTTTTATTCACTCTGATATTTTCAATATTTTTGAAAATACAGAGTTTCGAAGAAAAGGTAGATATTCAGGCATATGATGTATCTACTCCTGTTATTTTAACAGCTATGTTATAGCTCAACATCTATACTTCTCTCTATTTTGACGCATAGAATAAACAGTGACAGGCAAGTTACTGTTGCTGTTAAAATAACAGAAAATGATACATCATAAGACTGATTGACCTTAATTTTCTCCACTTCGACATACGAGTTGGATATGAAAATGTGTTTTCCAACTTCAAGTCGTGTGTGTGAATGTTTACTTCAAAGAGTTAAATATCGCTCGCAGTTTTACCTCTTACCGATCAATTTATTGTGAAAAATATATGAACAAGTAATAATAAATTCGTCCATATCCTACGGATGTGGCGAGGTACGAGGTCTGTTGAGGGGTAAATTGAAAAAGTCGTAAGCCTTGGTTAAGTGTGAATGGAGAGTTTAGTTTAGATAAATAACATTCCACCAAATGGAAATCGTGAAAGGGACTTTCTGATCCCCCTGTATATTTGTGAGCATTCTTTTCTTCGAAACTGTAGTTTCAATAATATTGAAAATATCAGAGTGATTTAGAGTGAATAAAAAATGAAAATGTTCGGAAAAGATCAGGTTACAATTTGGTGTTGAAAACTGTTCTGAATTTCCAGTGGTTCACTCCACAGGGTGTCTCAAAAAACACTGAAAATTACTGACTTTCTTTCCATCCCTGTATATGATATAAAGACGAATCATTTAATAACGATAATACGTCAAATGTATTCCTGAAGAATCAAGCTACAATCTGTAAAAAATTCATCGAAATCGAGCGGATGGTAACAAGAGCAAATTGATGTCAAACTTAGTGTAAATTTGGTCCGTTCCCCTAATTTTGCCGGTGTGTGTAGTTAGGGCGCGCGCTAAATGCGGTATAGTTTGTAGTCGGGTTCTTAGAAACGCGGCATTCGGCAAAGGAGATGAAACGGAGTGAGACAGCACGACAACGCCGAATGTATGTAGGAATTCTAGAACCCATGATTCGCATGCAATCGTTCATTTTCGTTTACTTCGCAAGTGTTGCAGAGTGAAAACAAATCAAGATGGGTGAGCAGATTACGTTAGAGATTTTTTTTTAAAAAATTACAACCTGCCCTGGAATTTAAAAGTTGTCCAGAACATGAGGCTCTTATTAGATGCAAAATGATGGGAAGTGATTTTGCAGAAGGAGTTAAGAGTTTTATGGAAAAGCTTAGTGCCGATACATATACAAACCGGAGAGTTAAAAGAACGTTTCCGATTGTACAAAAATTAGATAGATAGAAGAATGCACAGAAATGGGGCAGTTCTAACTTGCGGAACAGGAAAAAGGGATGCAATACACAAATTGACATCAAAATTTAAAAAATAACTGAAGCCACTAGCCGACGTGACAGTTATTTGAAAAATAGTCTGAATGCCCAAATACTGGTTTGTTATAGGTTGAAATAGTCATCTCGCGCGCGAGCCTATAACGCGATTACGTTATATACCTACCCCATTTTGCGCACTGCTGATAACATTCTATACCGCGTTACAGACATTTTTGATACTGAACCAAAACTGGACTGGGTTTGGGGGCAGAGCTTATAGAATCGATGCTCTTATTCTCTTATAATGTCCGCCCAAGTTAAGAACACCGGTTTAAAAAATGTGAAGAATTTGAATTCATAGAAAACATAGTTGTCACGTACACTCACTACAAAAAAATGAGGCGTTTAATAATTGTTAACAAATAACAACTATGTTTTCTATGAACTTAAATTCTTCACATTCTTTTAACCGGTGTTCTTAACTTGGGCGGACAGTACATGGTATATTATGTAAAATCGCCCCCCGGCCGGCGCGTTCTTTAGCGCGTCGTCGCCTCTTGAATTGTCCAGATAATTCGCTTCCATTCGTCTCGAATTTGCTGGACTATTGCGCGGTAAAATTTATTTTCTAGTCATCACGCAGTGTTGCAAGATTGTGTACAGTTGCCCCAACTAGAGAGACTTGTATCACTGCCCCCACCCTTGAAGTTGTTCGCCCCAAAATCGACTTATTCTCGCTTCTTTATGCTGCCAGCCTTTCTGCGTGTACAACCTTTGGCTTGACTTTCGGAGAAAGTTGAATCCTGTACAACAAGTCGTTTCACTTGGCCAATAATTTTTCGCTATCAAATGTCGGTGGTTTGAGTTGGCCACGTAGAAGAGGGCTTACCGACATATATTGGTTTAGCTATCACTCTCGTTGTTGGTATGGCATAATCGCGTACCGGTTCTATTTCTCCTTTATGTTCTTTGACCGTTCTTGTTTTGCATTTCTCAGATCGTTTCCTATTTCGCTTTGGACTTCTTTTCGAATACTTTGGAAAACTCCGGCGATGCTTTCAATATCGTGCTGTCTTCGTTGCCATTCTTCCTGTTTGTGTTCAATCTCCTTGTTCTTGGAAAATGTTCTGGAGCCGGTTCTGGGGTTGTATTTTCGAATTCATTTGAGTATATTTCGTACACGAAATTTGACTGACAGCAATGTAAATTAAATGGGGAGCAGTCGAAATCGCATCAAATTTCGTATGCGAGAATATTCGAAAATACGACCCCTGTTCTTTGCCTTCATTCTCGTCCGCAAGTTCCAATAGAGCGATTATCTGATTTATTTGATCAAATGGAAGATCAAGGCCGTCTGTTTGAATCGTTTCCACCAGAGACGAAAATTTCTTCACTCATATATCCCACTTCTGACACCAATTATTGTTACGTAAGCGGGTTCATAAATAAGACTAGGAGCAATGACGTACAATCACAGATAGACGGAGTTATAAACAAAAATATGTGTTGACAACATGTCTGATTCTTTCTATCCTGACCACACTCCCCCACTACTAAAATGCCATATTTAGTCGTAGGAATATTTATTTTCTTTTTCTAACACGGATATGAAGTCCTGCGAGTCCTGGCTTTCAATTACACTTGACAACACATCATCAGACTAAACTCCGCCTCCTGCTTGTCATAGAGTAACACTTTCCGTTCTTGCTCAGAGTATCTTGTTGTTTTTATCTTATGAGATGATGTAAGTATACCTATGTTAAAAAAAGACCAAAACATAGGATATGTTTGTGTTAATCTAGAATATATTTCGAATATCATCCCTTTTGTTTTGGAGTGGGGCTGGTCCAATTCTGGCAGTTCAGTCAGTGGTGTGCTTGGCTAAACCATGTGCTCAGGGAGGCGGAACTCAGATCGGACGACGTATCCCTACCACGGAGCGCCCGCGCCCCAAACCCCCCCTGGCCTATAAACATGTTGTCAACACAAATAATATTTTATGAATAGGATAGATACTCTGTCTATCTGTGGTTATAGGTCATTGACTAGGAGACACTAACTTCCAACATTATTATACCTTCATTCAAGACAACATCACGCCGAAACTAGCGCTACCACTATTATACTTAGTTCATTTGCAATCAAGCTTAACTAGGTAGTCACAAAACTCACAATCACAACTCACTGTCTTACTATCGACTTGCCTTCTGGCTCATCTCAATATTAACTTACTTGCATTCGATTAAGTAATTCTTGACCGACTGGCGTTTAATTTATGTCTGACTCTTTGCCTAGGCGGCCGACTCTGGTGTATAATCGTCTAAGAGTCTAGATAGTTCGCTTCCGTTCGGTTGGAATTCGCTGGACTACTGCAGGATCGTGTATAGCCCAACTTGAGATATTTTTAACAATATATTATGTATTTGAGTATTTCAGGAAGGTTGTAGAAACAAGGTATTTATATATGTATGTGCTTTCTGTCTTATTTTTTATGCTTCTTTTCATTGTTCTTGCATCATTATTAAAAAAATTTCACCCATTTTTTTAAAGAATTTTTTTGATAGATGGTTTGAATATCATTTACTCACACTCTAAACCTGCATATTTGTTTTTTTTATACAGATTATTTTTTTAGGTCACGAAGTCTGCAAAATTCTTGCAATGTCCAGTTTTACTAGCCTTATGAGTCAAACTGGCAATTTTATCTGGTTATTTTTTTTCTCTGGGCGAGGCTATTTAAAGCATATAATTCAGAGCATTGCAGACAGTGATTTAGAGCTTCTGCGCCATCTTGACCCTGCTACTGAAGATATCAAAGCACTCTACGTTTATATGGGCAGAATTTTACTACTTATCCGATTTGCTGGTACGTTCAAAAGTTTTTCCTCAACCTGATTATGATTATTGTTAAGTACATATAACACTGACTAAAGAATTTTATTTTAGGCAATAAATATGGCTCCGAATTAATTCTGGAGCACGATTTATTAGCTGCTTTGAGTGAAATGAAAGTTTATGAACGTCATCCGGAGGTTTGCAAGCAGTTTGCCGTTGACGATACTGTGGACGATCCTTTGGAATGTCTTAGTGAGAAGTACCTGCAAATATTTATACCTGTATTGCATATCTGCAACGCTATTCTTACCTCTCTTGGCACAGAAAACCAATCTGCTGTGATACAAATATTGAATTTTTTGATAATCCGCCTGGATGTTGTGGAATTTATATTGAGGTAAAAACACCTTTTATTTGAAATACGGAATTATTAAAATATAATATAAAAACCTCCTCAATGTTAAATGTTTCGAGATACTACTTTCAGAAGAGTGCAATTTTAAAGAGACCTTGAAATTTATTTTGGTTTGGTTCAACTTCATTTTTAATGACAACTTTAACCTTTTCGTGACCATGCTACAAAATGCTGCATTTCAGACCTTGCGGATTAATTTAAGACACCCAAATATTACAAAAACTGCAAAAGTCTTGTCACTTTAGTCAAGGGTGTATAATTTTTGCAAAGGTAGGTATGCAATAATAAACCTATAATTTAACCAATTTGTTGGTTAATACATAATGTTATAATATGCTTTCTTAGCTGTTATTACATTAATTACTTTAAAATTCTATATCAGTGCTTTAATCTTATTTTGACACTATTATTCTTCAATTTCATCCTTCAATGATACAAAATTAATGGGGTATCTGGCGTTTCTGCATATGCTACATGATATCTTGGATTTTCTCCCTCGAGTTTTGGCACAAAAGTAGGTACAGTTGCGATAAGAAAAAGTAGTACAAAAATTATTAACCCCAATTTGAGGTCCCGGTGTAATATACAAAATTTTGACAGTAAACAAACATTTCTCAATATATTGAGTTCAGGCAATGACATATTCTATGTTAAAAATGGGTGCAAAAATGCCAAAGCAATGTCATCTGAAGCTTTCTAGGTTAAAAACGGGTGCAAAAATGGCAAAAATATGTCTTTTTTGGTTATGAATTAAATGAATGTATAATAGACCAGACTTTGGAGATTTTTCGTTTAATACTTTTTTTTTATCGCAACTGACTGTACATAGATCATATTATCGAAATCATGTGTAGGTATAGTGTATAGTATTTCAATAATCTGCAGTCCATGAAGTGTAACACATTATTTGGGATTGAAAATCTTTAGCAAGTTTTTGTTCAAAAACTGTATTAGGGTTACCCAAAATGCCCGCACAGTCACGGAAAGGTTAAACAAAAATATATTTGATTGGAACACAGCAGTTTTAAATGTCATATAAAACCATATCACTATGAAAGGATAGCCACATCTGATGATGATAATTATTATTTCTGTAATGTGCCTGAAACCATAAACAATAAAGATCATCTAGATTATGTGATTATGTATAATAATGTATTTTGGTTTCAATAAAGTATCATTTAGTGCCTATGGCAAGTAACTTGTTAATTTGTTTTTTGAAAAATAGTCCAAGCAAAACTGTTTTAATTTAAGTTCTATGGTTGCTTAAAAACTAAAGGAACTAATTCACCCTTCTAACGATGAAAATGCTGTACTCTTGCTCTAATTGATCGATTATTTGAAATCTGTTTTATGGCAATAAAAAAAACGGCACATCAGAATTGACTCAAATTTGGCATCAATGTTCCTTGTTCGATTATGTAGGATTATGACCTATTACTCAGTAAACTGCTCAAGGCTTATGGTTCTATAGATTGAGATTTTTTTTTCACCTCTTGATTTTCTTTCAATTAAAGATAATTTACTCTAATTTAACTTTTTCTTCTTGCAAGCAACTGGGCCCATCACCAGTTGAAGGGGGGGTACTAAAAGGACCGGTCACTGCAAAAATCACATTTTGTTTTAGGTCTGGTGATACTGATTTGTCACTATCTCACCTCAAAGAACTTTCTCTTCTTACTTTTGTGATAGCCCGAACTGCCAACAATGATTTCGTTAATATCATTGAAAATCCCATCTTTGTGGCTGATAACAAGTCACAATTGTATCGTATTCAACGACTCATGTTGAATTTGATTCCCAAATTTATTTTATCTGAAGATACAGTTAGGAGGTGAGTTTTGCTTTTTCTATTTAGTCGACATTAAATATTAATAATGTTATTATTTAGACTATTGGCGAACACCAATGAGATAGAAGGAAACAAGTTCCAATCATCAGAACGGCTGCTACATTCGATGCAGATAGCATCAAATCTACTTTGGTACGTTCACAATTGTATTGCAAATAACGATATTGAACATGGAGGAGTTGGGGCTCTTTTCCATCCTAGCCTGCCTGATCCCATACTGCATAGTTCTCTCCACAGCAAAAGTACTGGAGGTTCCTTCCATAATAGAAGTAATAGAGGTTTAAGCGAGGAAAAGATCAGCCTAGGTAAGATTTGAATAAATAATAAGAAAAGTTCGCCTAAGATAGGACTAACGGACAAATAGAGTATGTACATGGACAAATCAACATATAAAAAACAAACAAAAAATGTCTATAGAACACTTGGTCGAGTAGTCATTTCTTGTGTCTAGCCTAATTCAGCTAATTCGCTGCTGCATGATTTTCTTCAGCCAAAATACAAAAAAATCTAAAATCAAGCACGGAATATCAAAATAAATTACTTAAATAATCAATTCGACAAACAGGGTTATATTGTTGTTAGTATTATAATCACATAAGAGGTATCTAATTTCAAAAATTAACGTTTTTCATTAGGAACTTTTCGAGTTCCCATTATCAGTAGTTTAATAAGATGGTTTATCGCTGTTTATTCAGGCCTGGACATTCACTTCACGAGGCGACAAAAGGACGTTCTCCCCCACCGCGGTGTGTCAAAGCTGTTTTGATTTATTTTTTGACTGAAATGGTATTTTCATGAGGAAGGAAAACTGAGGAGGTCTATGCTCCGGGATTCGTCTCTGCAGTCTTCGCGATACCCAAGCTACTACTACTACTCTCGTTTTTCGGAACCCCACGCCAACACACCATATGCTATACGAGATCAAAAAAGTGCACGGTACGCACTCTTTAGAGCTCCAGTGTCTAGATTTCATCAAAGGTTTTTTTTTAATCATATGCAATGCTCCAGTTTCCCCTAGAGTATGTTGCTTAAAATCCGCATTTGTGCGTACCTTAATTGTTACTTCAATGTTAGGCTTTAGGGTGTAATCTCTCGCTGGGGTTAATTTATATTTTCATAGTGTCTCAATTGGGGGTATTCGATATTTGTTTGGACCATTTCTTCCTTCCTCTCAGAAAGTTCATTTATGGTCTCTGATGGAAATTTCTGAGCGTCTCCATCTCTCCATGAATTGACGAGCATGTGACTCCTCTTTCTTTTTTTGTGGTATTTCTTGGGCCCGTTTATTTTGTAAAACAACAGCACGCTCGTTATAATCAATTTCAACTTTGTTTTTCATCAGAAAGTCAATTCCTAAAATAAAGGGTTTTGAAAGATAATTTTCAACAATAGCCAAAACTTGACCTATTAGGCTATTTATCTCAATATTAACTTTGGCTGTGCCCAAAGGTACAATACATGTACTAAAGGCCGCCAAGAGATTCATATTCCAACTTTAATTTAATTTATTTATTAACTTAGGGGTTTAATCTCGTCATCCTTCACTAGTCTCTTTATCAACTACACATTGACTGGCTCCTGTGTCCAGTACAATTTGCTTGATCATATTTTCATTAACAGTGCCGTTGATTTTTGAAATATTATGTTTTGGTTCCCAGGTTTGAAGGACGGCTTCTTTGGGGCAATCTAATAGAGCCGTCCGCGACCGTTTGTGGTTGGAGATTGGACTCTTGCAGACGAATCTCGCTTATCTCGGTTTTCATTACCACAAAAGTAGTATCCAACTCTATTGCAACCGTAGCAGCTTGTAGTACGGGAGCATTGTGTGTTCCGTGGCAAAGTTAACGAAGGAAAGGTGCATGTGGTGTCTTTTCATCAGAAAAATGATGTAGTTCAATAATTTATATGGTGACACCGTCACAGATGTTGCGTTTGTTTGGATACGTCAAACAAGATGGCAGCCATAGCAATATTGCAATATAAATAATGTGCCCTATCGTCGCTGCTATCCAACCAATTTTTTTTTTTTAGGTTGTTAGAAAGGTAATGTAAAGAGGAAAACAACATATGTGACGGTGTCACCATACAAATTATTGAACTACATCATTTTTATGATAAAATGACACCACTGGTACCTTTCCTTTGTGATGGCGTCTGGTCAAGAAGCTGTAATTGAAAATACATATTTGTGTAGTCGCATTCCAAAAAAAAAAAAAAAAAAATATTTGTGCCCCATTTTTGACAAAATGTTCAAAAAATTTGGCTCTTGCCACGGCAAAAACGAAGCTAAAAATCCGAGGTCCTAAATCCTCCTAAATAAATTCAATGAAAAATTTTCGCTCGCATATTAATTCTCTCTCAGAGAGAGCATCAAATTCAAGGAAACTATGTTTATCTGGTGTCCTGAGGTTGTTCCTCAATAAAGTATCATAGTATTAGGAAAAAATTGAAACACGTGATTTTTACTCGTACAAAAAATATGAACAACTTTTCTTCCAACTTTCTATGGACCGTTGTTTTTGTTACAGGTTGGATTATAGAACATTTGATAGATACAGTTACTTATCAGCGTCGAGAAAGGGCAACATTCCATTCCATTAAAAGAAAAATCATGGAAATTCCAAATATGAGTTCGGGAGAACTAGGAGAATATATCGGTGACCATATGAATCTGCTTGACCATCAAATTAAACAGGAAAGAGCTCACAAAGTTTTGCGAGAAGGTCTTAGAAAAAAGGTATTTTTTATCGACACTTGGAATACAAAGTAATAATAAAAAAATGTTTTCAGACAAGAGAAATGGAACACTGCGCTTTTATTATTGAGAATTCTGTATATATAATATGGATTCATTTACATCATTTCATGGAACACGCTACCCCTCGTGCAAGACATAGTCTCATATCAAATTTGGATGGTAAGCAAAATATGATTAGGTTAGTTTGGAAATTTTAATCGTGTAAGTTTGATTATAGGAACGACCTCAACTTCAGCAAATTTGAGTTTGGAAACTTCTGCAGAAAATATAACCAGTCTCAAGCAACGATTAGTTTCAGTATTTAGTGATAGTTTCAGCAAACAACTTCTGGAGACTAATCAGGTAAGCCATCTATCTAATAATACATTTTGGTCAATATTTCTTTTCTGCAGATAGGTATATTCATTAAGTAATATTTATTTTTGAATGGAGCATTATTTAGTTCTGGCGATAAGATACGTTAGTAGGATAGATAATTCACAATAACCCTTTAGTTGTGGTTGTGATCAATATAACTGTAACTTGGGCACACAATACTCATGTTAAGATTCTAGGGCAGCGGAATATAATTTACCTATGTGATTTATAAATTAGTATAGATAAATTGATAAATGAAAGCTGCACCTAACTGAAATATGTTGCCATTCAGAACAGGCTCGTAAATGGGAATTTCTTTTTATTACACTCAACTTTTTGACTTTTTGGTACTTATAATAATAAATTACGAATCTTCCGATGTTCTGCAACAGATTTTAGACATTTCCCATATATTTTTGCATGAATAGTCAAGTTTTTAGTCCAGGGTGATGGAGCATTGAACATAACCCTGATCCAATCAAGTTCAAGACGACGCGAGTTGCCTCATCGGATCAGTTATCTTTTTCTTGTATAGCCATGAAAACCACTTGAAACAAACAGCTTACAGGGTTATAATAACAGCAACACCACTGAACAAGCAACAATTGACATAGTACTGGCGTAACATATGCTCCAACCCATACTTACGAGACATTTCCTTTAATATTTGCCACACTTTTGATATTTCAGGATTCAAGGATGTAAACAAGTTTTATTGTCTCTTGCCCCAAAACAAGTGCAAAATCGCTGTTGTAGTTAACATTGTTGAAATCTCTAAACAAAATTTTCTATAAGTAGTTAGGTATTGTTCGTACATATACATATATAATTTTTTTTTTATTGCAGGGCCAATCAATAACAGATCAAGAGTTCCTGAAAGTGTTAATTCACCAGATCAAAACATTATTGCAGTTTGCTTAGTTTGTTAGTAATCTTTGTTTTAAATATAGTTCTTAAAATTCAGGAAACGAAATCTTTTAACTACAAAGTAACATTTTAATAATAATTTAGGCTATATTGTTATGGATCAATTAACAGCTTGGTTTTTGGATTTAAATTGGTTATCGTTTTCCATTATTTGTTAGTGATCTAGCAATTTATCAAATATTCTATTACATGTAAGATGATTTTTGTTCTCTAGAGTAAATCTATGCGCTTCATATTATGTATGTAGTTCAAGTTTTGTAATATAATATTAGTGTTGTTTTAAAGGAATTCATTTTAACTTCTAGACAGGGTGTCTGGAAATAAATGCAACAAAATTTGTTCAAAGATTCGTCAAAAAAAAAAATGGGTGATTCCTTTTTTTTTTAATGGTAAAGGCCCCTCCCTTCCGGAGTTACAGCCCCCTAAAATTCGACCCTAAGAATAGTATTTTTTTTCATTTCTCAGAATCCAGTTGTACGAGAGCTACTAGGATTGATATAGTGTATCTATTCTCAATTGAACCACCACAAAAAATAAATCTCCATTAACAGTCGGCGTTTTCTTTATGAAGCATAGGCGGCGAGGTTTCCAAAAATGTTTCATAATAAATAATAAATCAATATAATTTGGGTATTATTCTATGTAAAATTTAATTTATATTTATTATTTATTTGAGATATTTTGGAATACACATGCCCCAGTGCCGTTTAGGAGCTATTTTTTTAAAAATGTAAACAATTATTTCATAAAAATATACACGCGTATAAACCTGCCTCCGCCTCTAACTAAAAAAAACAAACTACGTCGCATCGCCCAGGCAAATAAACATGAAGAAATCTTTTCGAAATTTCGTTCCGACAACCGGTATTTCATTTTGCCGATTGTAGTTTTTAGTAGGGAATATTCAAAACATTTATATAGGTTTTTTGAGTATTTATTCACACCAAAGGTGCCTAATATTTGATCGTACCTTATACATAGCTTGAAAATAAAGTGGTTCAATTTAGAATAGATAAACTATACCTACACAGTTTTAGGCGCAGGAGCCCTTTAGGACATTGGGGCCCCCTGTCTTTGGAGCCTCAAAACTTTGATTGCGTATTCAAATTTAAAAAAAAAATACTATTCTATTAGAAGGTCCATTCAATCAGAAATCCTATCCTTTTATTTCTTGAATTTTTTTCGTTAAACACTTTGTTTTCGAGAAAAATGGCGATATGTGATATGAGAATTCTGGTGCATTTATTTCTGGACACCCTATATGAGATCAGAGACATTTGTGAAAACCGTAAACTGTCAATATCAGTGCCTTGAACCTTCTTCTGTATAACTCCTTGAACCCCAGCAAATTTATTACACGCTTCTGAGCTACAGAGACTGATTGCACAGATGCATTGTTGTTTTCCGAAAATTAATGCCATATTATATACCAAGCCAGTCAAGGTTTGCATAGTATGATGCTTTGTTATCACTTTCACTCACATCCTTAGGGCATAGCAAACTCCATTTCATTGGTTTTCATAGACTTCCAGTGAGGGTTAACCATTTTAACAATTTGTCGTTTATAATTCCCAGAAATGTTGTGCTTTTGATAGTGGCAATGGCTGCGTTCACCCAATACAAACTTTGGCAAACGGTTTACGTTGTTTCTGCTGAACGGCCGGTTTGTAAGCGGGTGATTTTAACATGTTCCGTAAGCCTTCGTCATTTTTGAGAGCATACTTCCGCGAGCGCTTGCTGTGGTAAACGGGTTTTGATAAACAAACAACATAGCTTGGGCCTGACATATACGTCACGTGAGAGAACTATCTGCTTCATAAACGTTTATCTTTTGAGCATAAACATGTTGACGGTCATTTGATTCCGGTGAACGCTGCCAGTGTCTTGATTGTTTATAATCCATGAAGATGATCCTTTCTTCAAACAAGAAGTAAACGACGATTGGTTTGCTCTCATTTAAAACCAAGTTATTCGTGAAGAACCAGTCTTGGGGCCCGTGGAGAACCAGTCTGGAACCACCAGATAACTCATCCACAAAGTTAATAACTTTAAAGTCTTCCAGTCCGCCGGTCACAGAGCTTAGCTCATTTATAATTTTTAACAGAAGTAAGGGCCCCAAAAAGCTGCCCTGGGGAACTCTGTACAAGCAAATCCAAAACATTTCTGAGGATTCCATGCTTTTGCAATTTTTTTGAATAGGCATAGTCCCTATTTAGGCAATCGAATGTTTTCGATACATCTAAAAATAACCATGCAGCAGAAGAAGTATGCTGCAGGGATATTTATAGAATAATTCTTCCAAAAATCTGATGATACAACAATAGCTAATTCGGAGATTTTTGAAAAGCTGGTCAATAGGCTCACTACTTTTTTTTCTTTTAATTCATTAGGAAAGCATCTAAATTTCTAGGAGTTGTTTACGACATAGCATAGGTCAAGATTTTATTTTATTTTTTAAATTTTAATTAAAAAAAAATATTAATTTTGCAAATGAGGCCCAAAAATTGTTAAAATTAACTTAGTTCCCATCTTCATTGGTTTTCCTGAGTGGATGCAGCCATTTTTTTGTACTAAGTTAGTTGATAGGTTAAGTTTTAGCTTCTTTTTTATATTATTGTCAGCTCATATTTTGTTTGTATGCAGTGCAATATCGTTAATCTGAACACTTAATCGTGGTCCTTCTTCGGATTAAAAAATATACAATAAAACACATCTGTAAATACATTATCTGATTTGATTTGAGATCTATGTATATTGATTTTTATAAATACTATCTCCCATCACGATTTGCGTTCGGATTAGCGTGCATGGGTTCAGATTACTGAGGCTGCACTGTACTTGTATTATCATTTATTTATTATAATGTATTTAAGTTTTTTGATAATAAGAAAGAATAAATTATTCATGAATCCAAAAATCTAGCTTATTTCCTTTGGCTAGAGAAATCACTGAAAAAACCCACTCTTCTGGAAGGCCCTAGGTGCACCCGTGCACCCTAAATGATTCTCTGCTGTCCCCCCATAGCGGAAGGCAAACAGTAGTTGGATCTACACTGTGGGCCAAATTAAGTTGGAACATAATTTGACCATTAATAACTTTTTTGTCTGTTTATGGATTTTAATGATTTTTGGATATGATATTAGTCAATATGTTTTTGTTGAACCCAGATTGCTTTGGAATTAACCAATTGTCAAATTTTTGATATTTTAGTAATATGTTTAATTTAAAATAAGTAAACATTGTCCTATCGTTGGAAGATAAAATTTTAATGAAAGAGTTAATGGAAAAGAATATAGGTGCATGCAAAATTCTTAAAATGTTTCCAGAGAAAAACTGGAGCCTAATTACCGTAAGCTATTTTTTAAAACATTATCGCGAAAATGAAACAATTCAAATTAAGGTAGGTCGTGGTAGGAAAAGAAGTGGACGTTGTCAAGAAAATATTTTAAGGGTTCGGCAAATTGTCGAAAATATTATTCCACCAGATGTGATGAGTTCCAGAAAAATTTCAAGAATCACAAGCATGAAGCGAACGACAGTGCGAAGAATTTTAAAAAGTGATTTCAACCTTAAGGTATACAAAAAAGTATATTACCAAAAATTGAGTGCAGAAAATAAAAGAAAAAGGCTTTTAAGATGCCAACCTTCTGAGAAGATTTCGTAGCAGGGAAGATATCTCATATGGCTGTTTTTAAATCAGGAAAAACAAGTGTTATATTTATTGCACAGCATGTGCTTGCAAATTTGCTTTAAGAAATTGAATATATAAATATAATTACTGCTTTCAACAAGACAGACGGACACAATAAGATTTTTACAAGAAAATTTCCCGGAAATTATCAAGCCAGATTTGTGGCCGCCTAACAGCCCTGACTTGAACCCCGTTGATTACTGCATATGGAGTCCATGGTTTATGCAATTACAATATTACAACAATCGAAGAATTGAAAAATCGGATCATTTATTGCTGGGAGAGATATGTCAACGCATTATAGACAATTCTATCAACTAATGTAGAAGACGCTTACAGACCGTAATCGATAATGAAGGAGGCTTCATCCATAATCAATTTCTATAAAAAATGTTGGACTTTCTTTGTTTGTTATTGTTTACAGGTACCAATTGCCCTGTTTTATAATTCCTAGTGTTATTTAATTTCATAATAAACATTTATCTGAGTATTTTGTTTTAAAGTTCAATGAAAAATGTCTATTCACAAAACAATCTCCAATATTGATTGAGTATTTATTAGTTAATGCCGACAAGGGAGACAAGCACCGTCCAATAAAGAAATCTTTATTTCTGTGGTTTTGGTTATAAAATATTGTTGATTTCAGGACTGGTTTTCTCATTATTGTCCTTCTTAAAAAAAATATTTGTTGGTTTGTAAGTAGCGCAGTTCGTTTTTGCAACGAGCTTAAATGAACTGATTCAATGAAATCGTCGTAAGTCCGGTCCTGACCAGAATTGGTCTAGTTAATTTCAAGGTGATAACAAAAATATATTGACTAATATCACATCCAAAAATCATTGAAATCCATAAACAAACAAAAAATTAATGGACAAATTATGGTCAAATTATGTTCCAACTTAATTTGGCCCACAGTGTACATGCAATTGAAGTGCAGCTTTTGTTGAGTACTTTTGAATACTTGACCGTTAGGCATATACAGGGCGTACATGAATCGCGGACCAAAAATCATAAATAATTTTCAAAATTTGTCATGTGCTTTTAATGATCCATGAATTGCGGACCAAAGTCGAAAGGGCCACCTGAAATCTACATACCTGCCGAAAAATTGGGAAAAACCTTCATTTAAAATATGTCGTTATTAGAGAGTTTAAGTAAACGATGAAAACTTTTGTTAGTGTTCGCAAACGCAAAATTTTCTTTCAAGAAAACATTGAAAGCGGTGAAAAGTTTTGGAAGTGTACCTGCCAAGTTTTAAAAAAAACGAGAAAGGCATTTTTGAGCTAAAAACTAGAGATGCCACGAATATTCGGCTACTATTCGGTATTCGGCCATTTTTTTTGTATTCGGTATTCGGCCGAATAGTATTATCCGGCCGAATACCGAAAGCTAAATATTGAAGAAAAAAAAACGCACATATTACTCAAAAATGTATCTATTTAATAACAAGTCACAATGAATCATACTTAAAATCTATTAAATAGGCGACTTTTTATTAATTACTGGTGCTATTTTGATAACTTTTGCTAAAGATAGACTGATAAACAGTAGTATAAGTAATAACGTGCGATCAAAAGAATATAGCTAATAACGCGTAAAATTGCGTATTGTGACACTATATATTCTCAAGTGAACCAAATTCCGTCGTTACCGGAGGCGACGCGATAAGAATGGGACAGGTCTTAGGGGTCGTATTTTCGAATATTCTCGCATACGAAATTTGATACGATTTCGAATGCTCCCCATTTAATTTACATTGCTGTCAGTCAAATTTCGTGTACGAATGAATTCGAAAATACGACCCCAACCTGTTGATAACGCACAAAACCCACAGATCTGCCGCCGAATATTCGGCGGCAGAATATTCGGCGCTACAAACGAGAGCGTGGCCGAATATTCGGTATTCGGTATTCGGCCAAATCACTATTCGTGGCATCTCTACCAAAAACCCGATTTTTTTTTCAAACTTTGACACCGTGTATCTTGAAAACTAAGCATTCGCGGACCCATGTTTCTACTCACTTTTTTCTTATTTTAAAGAGTACTATTTATCCTACAAGTTTGATCCCACTCTCCAGAAACACCCTATTATTGTATACTTACACTATAGTATTTCAGTAAATCAGTAGTTCAATAAACTTATGCCAAATGAATTTCGGTTTAAACTTATAACTTGCTTATTTAAAATAAAAAATAGTAACATGATAATGGTTTATTATTTCCTATATTTTTACGCCCTACCCTTACGTTAGGGTCGGTTTCTCAATAGCGAGTCACCTCCGGGTTGGTTTTAACTCCAGGGTAAACGTATCCAATGTTTACCTTGGAGTTATCCTTAACCTAGGGGTGATTTGCCATTGAGGCCCTTAGTTGTATAAAGTTAAGCCTAGTCCGCAATTCATGGGTTTTTAAAAGAGTGGTCTTCTTGGTTTGGTACGCAATTCGAGTACGGAATTATTAAAATCAGGTAATCGGTCCGCAATTCGAGGCCGCCGACCTAGCATGATACATGAGTTGTTGGTGTTAGTAACTCCCCCAGCATAATTATTAATTTAATTGTGGTTTCAGCAAAACGTTGACAGATGAAAATTGTATCTAATTAACTAAATTGAAGTTGTGATTTCCAGGTGGCTGTAAATAAGAAATAATGTAAATTACAGTCAACCAAATAAGTATTCCAAAAAACAAAAACGAGAAATTTACTTTTTATGATATTTTTGCAAACGGGTGTTAACATACAGACAGGGTGTCACACCAGGAACCAAATATTATAAAAAACCATTAAAATCAGGAAAATTCCGTGGCTTGAACTATATTGGCCGTATCCCCACATATACCTTTTCATCAATATTATGAAAAAGTATATACAGAAAAGTTTTGAAAATTTGACAGTTTACTAATGTCAATGAGCTAATAAGGACAATCCGGATGAACTATTTTCAAAATGCTGGCACTTTCTGTTATACCGGAAGTAGACGTCAACTTGCTTATTTTAAATGAGTCATATATTTAATTTTTTATGTCAAAAATTACGTTGCGTAAAGCAGGCACTAAAATAATAATTATGAATGTCGAAAACTACACATTTTCGGAATAGACAACTTTACATAAACCTACCCTAATTTTTAATGCTAAATAAGATAAAATTTGGGGGTTTCCATTCGAAAAAAAATATTTCCGGCAGTTTTCTTAATTTTATTTTTGATCTTATTTTTTGAACTCCATGTACTTATTTATTTTATCTATACAGTGTGATTTTTTAAATAGTAATAGCACAACCCAAATACAAACAGGGCCAAAAGTTGGTGCATGTCTGATAATCATATTAGGTGCACTCTGAATGGTTGCAAGTCAAACAGCATGGGTAGCTCAAACAATATCAAAGCTGTACTGTATTTTAGAAAATTCAGCAAAATGTTATAGAGAAAAGTTGTTTGGAATTAAAAGTTATGCCTAAATACCAAAACATAGCCTCCTAAGATTTTTTTTATTTTCTTTCGAAAAAAATCTATAATTTCTATATTTTTTTTATTTTTTATTTCCGCCCTTAATACTTTCAAAAATTAATTAAAATCAAATCAATTTTACATAACTTTGTTCAAATTCAAGCATATTTGTAAAATTAACTTAGATTTTCAATTTTTTATGGAATCACAAAATTCATGTTTGATGCAATGATATTCAACACAACTTTAAAATGTTGCAATTTTTTTTTTAACAAGTTAAAACATTACTAATGATAATAGCCATATTAAAAAAACTCTCCTTGAAGTGCAAAAGTTTTATTTTATTTAAGTGAATATTACTATAATTTTGATATTTTTTGAGCTACTTTGTATGCGGTTTGACTTGCAACCATTCTAAGTGCACCTAATATGATTATCAGACATGCACCACCTTTTGGCTTTGTTTGTATTTTGATTGTGCTATTACTAGAAAAAAATCCCATATGTTGCACACTTAAGTAATGACACTGTATATTATAAAAAACCTATTGAAGTAAGTCCTTCTCAACAAGGAATCGAACCCCAATTATTGTAGTGCCTGCAAACGTAATTTTTGAGATAAAAAAATCAATATGTCATAAATGCTTATAGACTTAGGTAAAAGACCTTATACAAGGAATCTTCCTAGAATCTTGAGTAGAAACCAAAAATGAAATAGTACATAAATAGGGTGTTTCATTTGAAATAACCAAGTGGACGTCTAATTCCGGTATAACT